ACTGAGGAAGAAGCTTTCGTGATACACCTTCTTCAGAAAACTCAAACATTTTGACCCAAACATAGCTTCCCACTGTGAAAGGTTCAGGCTGGCGCTTTTTGTTAGCATGCTTAATCATGGCACTACGTCGCCTTTCCATAGTTGCAACAACAACTTTGAGCAAGTGATCAAACGTATCGCTGTAGCCAGGCTGGCCAGGTGTTAGGCCAGGTGGTGAATCAGGAAACAGGTAGGATAGGGGATTGTGAATCTGCCACCCGAGGTGCAGCCGATTAGGTGTCATCCCGGTGGAGGAGTGTATGGAGTTGTTGTACAATCCCTGTACAATCGGCAATTCCTCACCCCAAGAGTTCTGATCAGGCACAATTAGAGCTCGGAGAAGTTGGATCACAGTCTGATTGATCTCCTCGGCCAGTCCATTGGCTTCGGGATGTCGACCAAACGTCATCTTGAGTTTGATGTCATAGATCTGGGAGGTGAAGTCCTTCCAATCTGCACTTATGAACCTAGTATCTCGGTCACTTACAAGAGTTTTCGGGGGCCCATATTGCAAAATGTACTTCTTGTGAAACTGCTTGATCACAAGGTCAGTAGGGGCGTGAGGTGGTAATGGGATCAAATTCAGAAATTTTGAAAAGCGGTCAATGATCACCATTACTTGTGAATATCCGTTCCTGCTCTTTTTTTCTATGTGTGTGAAGTCGATGGAAAGAGGCTCACCCGGACAATCAGGAATAGGAAGAGGATTCAGCAACCCATAGTGCTTTTATCGAGACGGTTTAATGCGTTGACAAACTTCACATTCAGCCATAAACTTTCGTGTCATTTCTTTCATCCCATGCCATACAAATTGTTGCAATAAACTTTCGTTTGTCTTTTCAAAACCGAAGTGTCCACTCCGGCCATGAGCCAAGTCCAAGAAGTGACTACGAATAGGCTCATGGTTGGGTACACACAGTCGGTCGTACTTCCCGTAATGTCGGAAGAGTAAACCTTTATACTCGTGGAAATCAGGCTGACTGCTAGGGTCAACTTGAATTTGCTCAAGGATGGGACTGAGTTCCGGGTCCTTGGCAGTATGCTCAATGAGTTTCTCCTTCAAATTCTTACGGAGATTGTAGGAACCCACAAGGCAAGTCATGTACTCAGGATGGCAAAACAAAGCATCCACAACGCGATTGTAACAACCTTTCTTGTGCTTAAGTTCAAAATCATACACATCAATCTCATGCATCCAGCGGGTCAATGTAGTTGATGAATTAATCTGTATCTGGATCCATTTCAAAGTCTCGTGGTCTAATAACACTTTGAAATGGCGACCCAAGAGGTAGTGTTTCCAATGATCTAGTGCCTCTCTCAAGGCATAGAGTTCTCGCATGTAAGTGGAGGTAGCTACCTTGTGACTGGGCATGTGTTTGTTGTAATACTCAAGCGGACGTAAGTCGTCACCATCATCTTGTTGCAGCACTGCACCAATCCCATACAAGCTTGCATTTGTAGTTACTACGAATGTAAGTTTGGGATCTGCAATGTAAAGCACCGGATGACTCACCAAAGCCTCCTTCAAGGCTTGGAAGGTTGTTGTGCATTCCCCATCCCATGTGTAAGACACGTTCTTGCTGGTCAATTTGGACAGCAGATGGGCGATGATAGAGAATTTGGGTACAAACTTACGGTAGTACGACGCAAGACCAAGAAAAGAACGCAACTCGCGGACATTTGCCGGTTGAGGCCAATTGCAGATGACCTCAACTTTTGTTGCCTCGGGCTCTAGGCCTGCAACAAACAACTGATGTCCAAGGTAGATAACGTTGTCCCTCCCAAACTCATATTTCTCTAAGTTGGGATGGAGTTGCGCATCCTTGAGGATCTGCAACACTTCCTCAAGGTGCCTCATGTGCTCGTTCATCGACTTGCTGAAGTTTAGTATGTCATCCAAATAAACAACAACAAATTGATTGATCTGATTGCAGAACACCTTGTCCATGAGACTTTGGAAGGTGGTTGGGGCATTCGTGAGGCCAATGCGCATAACGGTAAATTCGTACAGCCCATCGCGAGGTTTGAATGCAGTTTTATGCTGGTCTGCAGAGTCAACTTCGAACCGGTGGTAACCAAACTTGAGATCGATGTTGTTGAAGACCTTGCATCCACCTGCAGCATCAAGCAGATCGTCAATGCGTGGCGAAGGGTATGCATTCTTTCTGGTTATCAATTCAGTTCGCGGTAATCGATACACAGCCGTAGTTTGCCTCCTTTCTTAGGGACAAACAAAACTGGTGCACCGAATTCGGATTCGCTTGGCTTGATCCAACCTTTGTCAAGCATGTCATCGATCTGCCTTCGCAACTCCTCCAATTCGCTTGAGCCCATTCGATAGACACAACCTTTTGGAGGAGTGTTGCCTTCTATCCTCGATCTTGTGTCAGACCGGATGCATGGGGACTCAAAGCGGTTCGGCAAAAACTTCAGGAAATCGGTTGAGAAGGCCGCGAATCTCTGATAAGATTTCCGAAGGTGGATCATCACATTTTGGTGCAAGCATACCAGATTGCATAGGTGTAGCCAAAACAACAGGATTTGAAGCAGAGTCGTTTGGACTAGAAGTATATTTAGTAGAGGTAGAAGTAGTTGCATTAGAAGTAGAAACGACATGCAAAGTGGAATCATTATGTACAACAAAAATAAAAGGCACATGAGCAAGCCTAACAAAGGCTATATACATTTGCTCATCAACTTTGCGCCTGCGCCACTTTTTGCAGAATTTCATTGCATTGAGAAAAGTCACTTGGGACTCGTGCAGCTCATCCAAGAGGACCGGACACTCAATTCCCATGGCATCCTTGACCATGAATTGTGATTCCTTCCACGTGGTTCTTTCACATTGGGTCTGCAACCAGCCCAAGCCAATAACTGCGTCGAAGGGACACTTATCAAGGACATAGAAGTTCAACTCATGCGTGATTGTGCGGTCTGCGTCAAAGGTAGTGCGCACACCTTTGACTGCATGCGTAGATGCGACAACCTCTTGGTTGCCCACTTGGGTCTGACAAGGATTCTGCAATGCCACTTGTTTTATTCCCAAGCGTGCCTTACGAATGTCGTGCGGTGAGAAGTAGTTGGCGGTTGTGCCACAATCAGCCAATGCACGGATGTAACGGTCGTTAATGCGGAGTTTGAAGAAGATCAACTTCGTTTTCCCTTGCGCGCGTTCTTGCTTCATGTGAGCCCAGCGCGACAAGAGAGCATGAAAGTCAATTTCTTCCGACTCCGTCCAAGGCTCCTTGTAGAGGATATGCAATTTCTCTGCCTTGGAATCAACACCAGATGGGGTCTCAAGAGAGGTTTGTTGAGTAGGATCAGAATCCGGCGAAAGATCTGCACTTACATGTTCATCCTCTCCATCTGTAGAGTGTGCTGATGATGTCTCTACCCCCTTTGCTGGTTTCCCTGTTGCAACCTGAAGCAATGTTGTACTGAGTGTCCCGGTTTGGTACAATGCAAACAAACCCCTTTCTTCACCATGTGTTTCCACTCACTTTCACTGATCCGAAGATCTACCCATGGTTTTGTGGCAGGATCCTCCGACTTGGGTGGAATCTTCCCTCCCATGGGGAGGAAAATGGTGTTAGTGTTGTTCTTCACTGTGTTCCTCGGTCCCTTACTTTTGAAGGCAGTCTTCTTAAAGGCATTCATTAGTTCATCATCATCCACATAAGCGGACTCATGGGCTAACAAAGAGCAAGATGCCTCGCAGTGTTGCTCTTGATCGTCACCAAGAGAAGGGTCCTCTGTGAAGGTCTCCTCGTCAACCTCAAGTTGATCGTGCGCTGCAAAACGGTTGCTGCCTGGAAACCGTCTACGGCTGATGGTCTCTTACCACCCGATCCACCCGAGAGGTCTTATGCCTCCAACTTGACTAAATCCCGCATGAGGGAAAGCCAATTTGTATATGTAATGAGTCTGAGCCCCAGGCGATGTGTTACAGTAGAGGAAACCGTGCCTTTAATCACATCCAAACAAGGCTGCACAGTCATCTCCAAATCAGGAGTAGCACAGAGTTTACTAACGTACTGCTGTAGACTGTGCATGGAGTCAGTCCACTTGTTGTGCTTAAGCTTGTCAAGCTTGAGTCTAGCTTTGGTTGCAGCATGCGGATCAACATATTGCTTGATCAAGAGATCTTCGAGTGCGGCTATTGACGTAGCCTTCAACCATTTGCTCGGGTCTATTCTTTTATAGCGTGACTGTACAGCTTGGACTTCTAAGAAGCCCCTTATGGCGGGTTCCACATTGGTCCCTAGGACCGACAACTGAGTAACCGGGGGTGTCCCCAACACATCAAAGTAGGATCGCATGGAGATGATCCAAGATTCGATGTCGTATTTTCCGTCATACTTAGATGGAATCTGTGCCGCCTTCCTGTCCACGCAAGGAAAGTTGCAGCTAGGACCAACATTTGCTGGGTCCAAATTCGGGTTTGCAACAGTTCCAAAATGACTTGCACTACCACTTGCCACAGCAGCAGCAGCAGCAGCAACAGCGGGGTCTGGACCTGCTGCAGATCCGAATAGGCTGTTGACCACAAAGAAGAAGAAGAAGAAGAAGACACAGTTAGAGGGGCAAGAACGGACTGAGACGCAGCACTAGAAGCAGGGTAAGCAGACGGAAGGACACTTTGGGCTGGCAGCATCTTAAAAAGTTGTTGCAGCTGGTCACGGTGCTGCTGGCCATCAGGGCCATATCCTCGTGCAACTTCTCGAGTTCATCAAACACCTTGGCGAGTTGGCCGGTATGGTCTTCAACAGCCCAGACTTCTACTAAGGCCCTGAGGAGTGGGACAATCTTCTCTTCCACCTCAGCATCAGTTAAGGTGGGCACGGTACTGAAGACGGCTTCATGAGCCTTTACTTTATCTCTCCTCTCCTTCTCCTTCTCTTCCTCTTCCCTCTTCAATGCTTTTTCGTAAAAGAACTGGTATTACGCTTTTTCTGCCTCAGGGGCAGTGTCCATTTGCGGCTTCCATTCTGCTACAGATGCCATAATGGAGGACGAGGGTGTCAATAAGTCTCTCAAAAGAGGTCCATACTTCCTCACACTTCTGGGACGAACACTCCTCTTCCCTCTCCTCACCCCCTCAAGAGCAACACTCAGAAGCTTCTCTCTTCTCTCTTTCTCTCTCGTTTGCGATCGTGTAAACGCAAACATTTAACGAACCCAATGAAAGAAACAACTTGAAAGCAATTAGAAGAGAAGGTAGAACTCCTAGTCGGAGCGGCAATTCATTTGGGATGGAAAGCAGTCAAGACAAAAAAATAAAGATCAGAGAGATTTGATTCCACCACACAGTCTAGTCCGACTACGTATGAGGTCCTCTCAAGCCTAGCCGGACTTTGCTCCGTGAAGACACAACAAATCAAATTCAAAGTGTACAACGTAATGCAAGAGAGAAGTGAGTGGTATCCAAGGTGCGAGTCAGGCGCCGGATCGTGCGGTAAAGTCTGTTAAAACGTCTCAGCTGAGATCCCCTCAGCAACAAGTGTCCTGGTCCGAAAGCATGAACTCCGAGTCCCAATCAGATAGAGCAAGGTAACTGACGTCAACAGATTTGGGTTTGAGGGGCTCTTCTTGTTTGGGCCTGGTCCCACTGAGTCCCAAATGGTCCCAGTGGAGTCAGAGTCGGGTCCCTACCAACAAGAGTTCCACAAAGACCTACTCTCTACCCCTACCGAATTGAAAAACGAAATTTGGCCCCAGAAAGAACCTACAAACTACAACCGTTCAAAATGAAATAAACAAAGCATTGTAGAAAGATATAGCATGGCACACAAGATACTCCATTCATTCACTCGTCAGGTGAGTAAGTAGTTCACACACCTCACACAAGATCAAGACTGTGGAGGATGGAAGAAGAACCCAGAATACCCCAGCAGGCAGTCAATTCCATGGACACACACATGGGCACCCTGGCGGCACGACACTGAGTGGTCGGGCTCTTAAGATGAAAAAAAACTCACCCCTCTCTCACATAGTCCTCCTGACCCAATTAGCATCCTCTACACTAGTGTCCTATCATCTAGGAGGGTCAACATCTACCCCAAAGTACAACGCCGGATCCCCCATCGATGTTGAAGATCAAAGTAGCAACTTGCATTCCGCAGGTGCAGATATGGCTGCCACCCTCAAGCTTGCCTAACTTGAGGGGAGCCCTAAAGTCACTCCTCGTCTTCCTTGAAGTCGAGATTCCAGTTGTAGGTGCCTTTCATTGTCGCCTCTCTCCAATTGCATCACGAAGTCCCATCTTGTGTTTCGCCACCACAAACATGCACTCAAACAACCTGGCCGGGTGTAGTGTCGACCCTACACGGCCCTGCCAGGTGGGAGCAGCTTCCTTCACCACGCGGCCCCACTTAACCCTAACTTCCAGCCCTAGCCCTAAGTGGTTAGCCCTTACCACTTAGGTTAGGGTTATGGCAGCAAAGTCAACTCTCGCCAGCAAGTAGAATCCGCTCCAATACCGATGTTACAATCCTGGCCAATTTCGAAGTATGTATTCATCAGAAAGTACAATGCCGTCAAATTTCAAAAAGAAATGAATGAACTTGAGAGGAGAGAGAGGGAAAGAAGAAGATGAAGAAGTAAGAAAGAAGAAGAAGATGATGTACTCCAGCATAGACCAAAGATAAGGCTCTTCTTCTTCGCCAACCAATCTCCTCCTCCTTATCTCTTCCCCTCTTATTCAAACAAGAAATAACAATAATAATGTTGAATGGCTGAACCAGAATCAATGTCCAAATCCCACTTCTACTGCAGGCACAACGTGAGGTCCACCATAGCCATGGCCACCCTTCCTCTTCCTCTTCATGTAAGCTGAGGCTATGGCGGAGCACTGAGGGCTCTACCCTCCTGTCCAAAGGACAACCCAAAGCAGCTATGTCGTTGCCCTCCTGTCCCAAGGTCAACATCAGCAGCTATGCCGCTGCCCATTCAGCCGCCATGCCTGACTCTGTCCTCCTGTCCCAAGGTCAACATCAGCAGCTATGCCGCTGCCCATTCAGCATGTCGCCAAACTTGCACACTGAAGAATGAGGCCTGGCTCTTCCCTCAGCCTCTTGATATAGCGGCCTACTTGCATCCTGGGCGGTGACTTCCAGGCCGCTCGGCCTCCCAAGCAACCGGTACCTCCTCCCTTTCGGAGGGAAACATCATTGCAGACTCTGATATTGCCGGTACAGGCTCTAACTCAGACTGGATGGACTGGTACCGGCCTAGACCTAGCCTACCGCTACTGGGCCTCTAAAAATGCCAACTTTGTCTTCTTCTGCTCGGCCTTGATTACCCGGCACATCTACTGCTACTGGGTGCGGTACCGGCCTACCTGCTACTTGAGTGTTTTTCCGCTGCTCTAAGTGCCGCGGGCCCCTGGCTCCGCTACTCGAGTGTTTCCCCTGCTGCAACCCTCAATATCACAGCCACAGGTAAGTACCGGCCCTACGGGCCTCCCAAACAAGCAAGTACCCTTGCGGGTCACACACACACTAATGCGGACAAGCACTCAGACAGGCATGCAGGTCAACAAATAGGCACACATACAGACTTAGAAACTCAGCAGAATGCGGGAATCTCAGCAAGGCATCCATTCCATCGGCAGAACTTCAGAAATCAGCAGTGTTCTCAGTCTGTGTTATGGCGGGTCATTACATAATGCATGACTTGCCCAGGTTGCCCTCACTACTCTCCACTTTTTCAGTCAATCCTCTTCGCACACTCTCCTCCCCATACCCGCAATCTTCCTCTGGACCATACCCCTCGCAGCCGAATTCAGCTTTTGGTATATGGTGAGGAAACACACAGAATCAGGAAGGAGGCTTGATCCTGGCATCCATCCCAAAAGACTCCCTTCATTCGTGTGTTGCCTTGTGCTCAGGATCTGTTCTAATGTTTGGATTGATCTTAAACCACCAGTTCACACATCCTTAAGTTGACGACACTACCTTGTTCTAATGTTTGGATTGATCTTAAACCACCAGTTCACACATCCTTAAGTTGACGACGCTACCTTCCAAGGCTCGCAAGCCTCCAACTGTTTTTTGTTTTCGTTGTGGCCTTCTGCGCTCACTACCGGCCCAGGCCCAAAGTGCCATGGCCTTACCGTGTAAACCGGTAAGAGCCTAATTTAGCTTCGGGAGACTCATGTTTTAACTGTCATCCAGTTGCCTGCACCTGTAGTCCATACACAATGCACTCATAAATGCTCGAACTTCTGGTCAAATGCGGATGAACAAAGAAAGAGCAAGAAGAGGTAGACAGACCTTGAAACCTTGGATGGCTGATAGGTCAGTGGGTAGAGCACCGGTTGCAAATGCACATTGTGGTCTGAGGTTGCAGCCTCGTGCATACGGCGCCAGCGGGCATTGACCAATGCACAGCCATTCACACACTGAGCGCGCATGCAGCCAGGGGCTCTGACTGTGCACATGGGCTACCAGTTCCAGGTCTGAACTGGGGATCCACCTGCCAGGTGCCCATGAGATGCTGACCCCCGACCGTGCAGTTCCTTGGGCTCCGGAACGACAGCGTGCAGCTCCCATTCGGTTGTATGGAGGCCATGGGGGGAGACGACTCCGGGAGGGGCGGGTTCAGTGGGGATGCGTTGCGGGAGGAGTATGGGGTTCACCCCCTAGCAGGAGTGACGCTTATCCTCTCAGCACCCGGCGACTGTGGTGCCGCAAGGTCTCCCAGCAGGGTGCCTCAGGGATACAGGGCCCTGAGTCCGGGGGGTCGCACCCCAGTGCAGCGCTCCGAGTAGCACCGATCCCAGGGCAAAATTCCAGGTCTGTGTGGTCGAGGTTGTGTGCTCCCGCCTTCAGTGGGTAGAGCACCGGTTGCAAATGCACATTGTGGTCTGAGGTTGCAGCCTTGTGCATACGGCGCCAGCGGGCATTGACCAATGCACAGCCATTCACACACTGAGCGCGCATGCAGCCAGGGGCTCTGACTGTGCACAGGGGCTACTAGTTCCAGGTCTGAACTGGGGATCCACCTGCCAGGTGCCCATGAGATGCTGACCCCCGACCGTGCAGTTCCTTGGGCTCCGGAACGACAGCGTGTAGCTCCCATTCGGTTGTATGGAGGCCATGGGGGGAGACAACTCCGGGAGGGGCGGACTCAGTGGGGATGAGTTGCGGGAGGAGTATGGCTTCGCCCCCTAGCAGGAGAGACGCTTATCCTCTCAGCACCCGGCGACTGTGGTGCCGCAAGGTCTCCCAGCTGGGTGCCTCAGGGATAAAGGGCCCTGAGTCCGGGAGGTCGCACCCCAGTGCAGTGCTCCGAGTAGCACCGGTCCCAGGGCAAAATTCCAGGTCTGTGTGGTCGAGGTTGTGTGCTCCAGCCTTCAGTGACCTCTGTGTGTGGGTGGGTCCACCTGGCCGTTAGGGTGGTTGAACCCAGTGTGTGCGACCTCCTGCCGGCTCTCCTCCCTCCGTAATATCCCCGACACCCCTACAACCTTTAAAAAAAAAAAAAAACTAATATCCCCGACACCCCTACAGGCTACAACCTTAAAATAAAAAAAATAAAAAAAATAAAAAACTTGCCTTCCCAGAACCAAATCAGAACTCAACTTCCCTTACAATCATCATTACATCCTCACTGTGGACGACAACCTTGGACTTGCTAGAGTAGCAAGCCCCAGTTCACTTGCTGTCACAGAGCTCAAATCACCTCCTCTGTATCCACAGCTTAAACACTACCACTCCCTCGACAGCGTCTCCCTCAGATAATGTTACTTCTCTTCATGCTCAGAAGAGCCCCAGAGTGCCTCTTCCCCTCATTGCCATTACACCTTGGCCCCATGTACGCGAGGATCAAGGACCTTGGCAATGCCTGAGGGACTCCCTGCTCGCCGTAAGAGAAGGCCGACAGCCTAAAATATGCAGCGGGGCCTGACAACAGGCCAATATGAGCAGAGATGGGGCCGGCGGCAAGATGCTGCATGCAGCATCTGCAACTAACCAGTCGGGGACCAACCGCCGGGTAGTTGTGGATGCTGAGGCCCAGGCAACTTCAGGATGGGTGTTACATGCCAAGCCTGCACACGGGCCCCATTTTGGGGGCCGGACGTTTGCTGGGGGCCCCCAGGCCACACGCCCTTCCGACATGCGTCCTGGAGGCCCACGGCTGGCCCCAAGGGCACAGGATTCGATTTGAGGCAGCATTTATTTATTTATTTATTTATCCTACCCCTTAAGCAGCATTGGCCGCAGGGGGGAGGTAGATGGTCCGCTGCGCGTCGAAATCGGGCGCCAAAGTAAACGGAGACGGTAGGATGGAGGGCGCTCGCAGTCCAGATGGATGCAGAGGCCGCTCTCCACCGAATTGTTCACAGCACGCCAAAGAACGTGGGGCCGCCATGTAGCGTGGAGAGGGAG